GACCTCCATTATTTGAATGTCAGCAGACAGCAAGAAGCCTCCCAGATCTCCAGATGCATTTGAGATATCAAAAAAGTACTCCAGAGTTTTGTTCAGCATGGGGGTGAGTAGAAAATGAAGGCTAATCATGTTTTGGGTGTACTATTCCTTTAAGACTTTTTATTTTTCAGTGCTACCATAGTTCAAGCCTGCATCCACATGGAGACCATAATAACTTTATGGAAAAATAACCTGAATATTGAGAGATCTTGATCCATACCTAATATTTGAGAAAAAGACCAATCAGTTGGAGCACCTGAACAGGTCCATGGAAGGTTTGCATTATTTTTTTGTTGTACACAATTGAACTACTTGGATATTGCATTTTCTTACCTTCTGAGAGATTTGTTTGATTTTTAATATAATAAAAAAAACTGTTTTATGGGAAATATTTAAAATTTCAAGAACTATTTTTTACCCTCAAACACTGCTTTTTTTTTGCTATTCTCCCAAATCTCCATCAAAGTCTTCATGGAAAATGTAACTTTGATCTATTCACTGTAAACGTTGAACAAAAAACCCTATCTTTTAGTGTTTGATCAGTCAATCAGCGATCAGGGTTTTTTTATGAAATATTAGTCATTTGTGATTGCTTGCTGTCTGTTGGGTCAAGCTCTAGATGGAACATGTTCAGAAGTACGTCTTTGCTCAGGTGGATTTGAATGAAGAGCTCCAATGAAACTAAGCGTCAGAGAAGCGATTCATTATGTTATGTTAAAGTTGAGTGTTCTTTTGTCAAACATAGCCGGTAAAAATGGTGTGACTCATTAAAAGGGTGTAACCCACACTTACAAAAACAGTCGGTTTGGGCTTGTTTGATGATTCTTCCTCGTCAGTTCTGCTGACGCGTTTGGACTGCTGCCCTGCTGTTCTAGAGGTCCTCGTAGCACTGTTACCAGTTTCAAACAGGTCAAGACCCTTTCCCTTTCTGGACTGCATGCTGATCAGGGTCTGCTTCATCATTGCCAACTCCTGGATGATCACAGATATCATTAAAACATTGATGAGGATGTAGCACTTGAACGATAAACAGAAAAACGGAGGAACTGAGTTGAAACAGGACGGTTCTTAGAATCCATATCAGAAATGAGTCTTCACTTATCATGTTTGCTTTAGGAAAAATTCCTGTTGTCAGGAATTTAAAAACACACAAAAATGAGCTCAATGATGTGTGGAGGGTCTACAGTGCAAGACAGAGGGGGGTAATTTCAGGGTTCTATTTATCACATCTGAGGACATAAGCCTCGGCATGTTGCACGCATTCACTAACACACACACACACACACACACACTTCCTGGTGGCTTCCCAAACAGCCGAGCTGAGGAACAGCTGTCTATGAGTGTGCACATACTTCAGAAAGCAAACGGCTGGCTTGGGGATACGCTCCAACATATACAAACACACACAGTATTGCAACACTATAACAACCCACACAGGGTGATAACAAAATAATTAGTCAAGCTTATCAATTAGCTGATAGAAAAGAAATGTGATAATATCTAACTAATTGGTCAATTATTAATATTTTCTCACGTAAATCGTTTTTCATGAGAAATCCTTCTTGTTCACAAGAAAAAAAAAGGTTTTGTTATCTCTGTATAAATACATTACTGCAGCAACTTTAAAATTACTACTTTGTGTTTTGATTGAACCACAGTTTGGGACAGAAGTTTCCATATGTCCACCATCAACATGAACTTTGAATTCATATAAATCTTTTTGATTATGCAATTTAAACCAATAATTTTCCAGGGTTAAATGATAACAGAAGACACGTCTGGAAGGAGATCTGTTCATACTCTTTTTATTTGAAAGTTAATCTGGCACAGAACAGCTAATATAGAGCCGATCAAACTTTAGCCTGCTTTGTCTGTTCTAATAGTACATTGTCTGGGATTATTGTCCCATTTCAGCTCCTCCAGGTTTACAGCTTGATGCCTCCCTCACTGTGCGAGATGGCCAGTTGGTTTGCTGTTTTTAAAGTTTTAAAGGCCTCCTAATATTTCTTCCAAACCTTCTTGTTCTTGTGCCGAAATTTTCCAACTTTGTTTCACTTTAACATAAAAATTTTCACCAGAAAACATTTCATTTCCTTATGGATTCCACAGAAAATATCATTTAAGCCTGTAGGCGTAAATTCGGGATTACACATTGTAGGTATTCTTTCAGATTATGGTAATGTATAACAGTGACAGCCCATAATGTAAAACAGTGACACTGCTGTTCCATTTTATAAAACTATAGACTTGATCCTGCTCCTGGTTATTCATATGATCTAATTGATCGACCCAGTTAAGTGATCCAACAGGACAATAACCATAACATACATCTAAATGGTCAATCATTTTAAGTCTGTGGAGAGAACATAGTTTAGCTTAAGGTAGCTTTTAAGGTGACAGAAATTAAACCTTTACTTAAGAAACCATCTCTTGGCCCAGATGACTTGGTCAATTATAGACTTATATCCAATCTTCATTTCTTATCTAGTAGTAATAGTAGTAAAGAGAGAAAATAGTAGTAAACTACTATTTGCACCAATATCGACCATTTGAAGAGTTTCAATCAGGTTTTAGAGCTCACCATAGCACTGAAACAGCTCTAGAGAAACTCACTAATGATATTCTCATGGCCTCAGATAATAGACTTGTATCTGAACTTCTCCTTTTAGATCTCAGTGCAGCATTTGATACAGTTGATCATAATATAAACACTAGAATTCTTTAAATCTTATTTATCTGACTGATTTCAGTTTGTTCATGTTAACAATAAATCTTCCTCATGCTCCAGGGTTAGCTGTGGAGTACCACAGGGATCAGTGTAAGGGACACTTTTTAGTATAAATAAACCTCCCAATTGGCAGAATTATTGGTTAGCATAAGATTCCTTTCCACTGTTATGCTGATGATACTCAGCTTTATCTGTATATAAATCCAGATGAAACTAACCCATTACTTAGATGAAAGGCATGTCTTGAAGACATAAAAACCTAGATGACACTTAACTTTCTGTTACAGTCACTGACCTCTAGGGGCTCTCTTCATGAGAGAGCTCTCTCTTTGTGTTTCAGGTCTACGTGACTCACACAGGTGCAATGTGTTGGAGCTCATCAGCCACCCCATAAAGAGCTTCATACGAGAGATGTCAGGCCCCTTTCTTTCTCTTATTCCCTGGGCCTTGATCTGAAGTGATCTTTTCTGTGGGCTGGCCGTTCATGGGGACTTAAATTGGTTTGCAATGAGCATATTGTTAATGTGTGATTCATATTGAATAATTGTCTAACTAAAGTGTTTTCTGTTCACAGTGGAAGCTGGTAGGGGTTCTCTGCCATTTTTGTTTAACTGTTTTCTCCTTGTTTTTATGGTAAGTCAGCGAGTTCAGGTTTTGTACTTTCTTTTCACTTCTCCTTTAGAAAGTGTTTGATTTTATAATTAAAAAGGGGGTGTTTTGTTTGTTGTTTTAGCCTTGGAGACCCTGAGGCTTGAAGCTTCCCTGTGTTTGCTGTCTTCTGTAATTGAACTCCTGCTAATTGTAAAATAAATTATATTTTGCCACTGACATCATCTGTTTAGGTTACTGACTTCTGTGTTACACCCACTACCAGAATTTACCCTTAGTGGTCTTGAGGAAGGTTGCAACACATTCTGCTCCTTAACCAGACAAAACAGGAGTTATAGTCTTTGGAGCAGTCCTCGAAAAAGAAGCTGATTAGTCAGTCACTTCATTTGGATGGGACTAAATTGATCTCCAACAATAAGGTAAAAAATCCTTGTTTTAATTGTTGATTAAGACCTGTCATTTTAATGAAAATTAAAAAGGATATCTGCCCTATCCCAGCTTCTCTTCATTGGCTTCCAGTTTTAGGATTCAAAATCCTCCTGTTCACTTATAAAGCCTTAAATAACCACGCTCTGTCTTACAACAGAGATCTGATTGTTCCAAACAGAGCATTTCACTCTCAATTTGCAGGTTTACTAGTGGTTCCTAGAATGTAGAATGGGAAGCGGTAATCGGGCTCCTCTCTTCTGGAACAAACTACCAGTTTTGATCCGTAAGGCAGACACCCTGTCTACTTTTAAGGCAAGGCTTAAAACTTTCCTTTTTGATAAAGCTTAAAGGTCAAGTAGCTCAGGTTTTCCTAAGCTATCTCTATAGTTAGGAGGATATAGGCTAAGACTGCTGGAGGACATAGGGACCCCTTTTCATCATTCTATCCCTACTCTCCCATTCTGCAGTATTCGTTAGCTCAATCTCTAACGCTATGCTCTCCCTGCTTTTCCTCATCATAGTAGCTTCATCTGATCTGATCCTGTTTGGCTGTGGTAACATCCCAGAGATAAGTATCAGCTGTGTTTCTGCCATTAACATCTTTGTCTATAGCTGTTGAAGACTAGCCTGTTTTTCAGTCTAGACCTGTTTATCTTACTATAGTCCCATTAACATTACCCTTTTGAAACCATGCCAAGAACGGTATGAGCACAGTTACTGAGATAACTGTTGAGTGAAAATAGAATGCAACTGAACTGGACCATGCCAGATACAACCGAACTATGCTAAATCTAGTACAAGTTCAACAGTAGAGCTTGGCATGGTTCAGTTGTGGCTCGGTTCTCTGATAACAAAGAGTGCATGAGCAGACCATGTCATCTCCTATTTTTCCAGCTTTCCGGTTTTCCGGCGTGTCTGGCTTCACAATTCACAGATCTCTTCAACTGTTCACAACACAACCTGATGTGTTGTGAACAGTTGAAACCTGATGCAACCTGGGATGATGCAGAGACCGAGGCTCTCATTGAAATTTGGGCAGAGGACGCTATCCAGGCACAAGTTCCTTAATGCTATGGGCACCGGGATTTTTTTTTGGGTGTAATTTTTAGACTTAGACAACTTTTGTAATTTTGTATACACAGTGTATACAAATCGAAATTTCGATTAGTACAGCTTTTCACACAGTAAATGAACTTTTCCATTCCATAAAGTGCAGCAGTGATCAGATGTTAACAGTTTGGGAGAAAAACATGGTGCAAAAAACGCGTTGATATGGAAGTTAGGAGCATTAAATATATATGGTGCAATTTTGCAGTGTTTTGATTTGGGGTTATCAGTGTGATGCAGAGTTTGTGACATGATTTAGAGTTTTTTCGGCAGTCTGATGGCGGTGGGGAAGAAGCTGTTGCAGAATCTGCTGGGTTACATAAAATGCTGCAAAGCTTCTTCCCAGAGGGCACCAGGGAGAACAGTCCATGGTGGGGGTCGAGGGGTCATGATGATGTTACGGGCTCGGGACACGCAGCGCTGGGATGAAATGTGTTTTATGGAGGGAAGAGGAGCCCTGATGATCCTCTCTGCCATCCTCAATACTCTTCTCACTTTCTTCCAGTCTGAGGGACTGCAGCCTTCACACCACACAGTGAGAATGCTGGTCAGAATGCTCTCTGTGATGCTTCTGCAGAAGGTCATGAGGATGGGTGGGGGCTTGGGAGCTGTAGAATCGTGGACTGCCGATAGGATGCGAGGAGCTGTGCTAGCGTGATGTGTAAATGGTCGTAAGAACCAAGCTTGGCACTGTTAACTGATCCAAGTTCGGTCCGAACTCAGCAGGGATCGGTTACAGAGGGGTAGTGTAAATGGGGCATATGACTAACAAAATGGGCTCTCTTCAATCCTCTGACTTGGGAGCTGGCTCGGAGCTCTTCTGCCTGGCTGTGTGTTTCCAGGACGGGGCCACCTGTGGAGCTGGTTGAGAGTTACCGTTTGTATCTCTGCTTCTTTTTGTATGTCTGCTTTTGTCTCATTGAACCCATCTGCAGATGACCGCTCGGAGTCTGGTTCTGCTGGAGAGTTCTTCCTGTTAAAAGGGAGTTATCCTCTGTACTGTCGCTACAAGCATGGTCGGTGTGAGGGATTGCTGAAGAGTCAATGAGTCGATGCAATCGGGTGGTTTTACTTAGAAAACTTTGAACCAACTGACTGTATGATCTGATTGAATAGTCTCTGTAAAGTGCCTTGAGATAACATGTGTTGTGAATTGGCACTATATAAATAAACTGAATTTAATTGTGTCAGTGGATCAATACCAATTTTAAAAAAGGGGACACTTTCATGGAAATTAATATTTTAGTTATGTTTAAGTGAGATAACATAAATCATACCTGACATTTAAATTAATACTTAATAACAGCTGAAGGCTTTAAAAGTTATACATAGCAGAAAGGTACAGAAAAAAAAACAAAACAAACAACAATCGGTAGAGCGTGTGGTCAAAATGCCTTAGTGCTCCACTCTGGACCTGTGTATTTCTGACCTAAAAATATGATTTTTGAAGTTAAACACTCATTCCCCTGTTTACGAAACATCAGCAAAAACAGGGCTCCAATTCTAAAATAGCTGAACACTCCCCTAAGGTTGCTGACGGGGTGCAGCGTAGCACGGAAGACAACCCAGCTGGAAACAAGGCAACATAACAACTTCCAGCCAGAAAAAACATCAAGTAGGACAATTTTAGACATCATACCAAAATATTTTTTGGGAGACAGTCTGGAAGTGACTAAAAGAATGTTAATACTGTCTGGACACACATGGGGGGGGGGATGCATCCATGAGCCACAACAACAGGAGGACTCAGAATGGTAGAGAGCTGCTTCTGGCAAAATTGGTCATTATGTAGGGAAGAAGTGAATGTTTTACTGATAGTTTAGTGGAGAAAGTAATTTCTACGTATCAGGAAATTCATATCTTTTTCATTGACTGATGTATGCTAATGTAAACAAACAGTAGGGATTCTCCCCAAGCAGTGGTGGAGAACCCTGCAAATCTATCAGGAATGTTTTTAGAATGACAGTTGCTCATTGTTTTTAATAACAGGACTGGTTAAAGAAATAGTGATCAAAATCTAGTGGATTACATAGCTGTTAGTCAAACCACAACACTGTCGTCATCGCTGTGTTCTGCTTTTATGTGTCAACTCGCTCCTCAATCCATTCCTGTTCAACATTTTTTCTGATGACAATAGGGGGCTTTGTTTATGTGTGTTGAGCATGCTAGGAGCACATTTGTCCCCCAGAATCCACACTTGACGTAGAGGGATGCTGTATGTGGGACAGATACGGATCTATTCATTTGTATTCGTTCTTCATTGCTCATATAAGACTCAGCAACACAAGATGTTAGTGTTCAAAACAAAACAGAAATGGAAGCAAACAAAATAACATATGCTCCGTGGAAGCTTGGAACAGATCAATACCCTGTAGATATAATTTTAATACCGTAATTCTCAGTTTTTTTATTTGTGTTGGGGATTGCCGTTTTTAACCCAAAAAATGTTTTTGACTAATCTTTGTCCAAACTCATCAAAGTTTTGGAGGTGTGTCTATTTCCCTTGCTCCTAATTATCTAAATCAGTTTTCGGTGATAGTAAAAAGATGCAAGTACATCTAAAACAATAAAGAAAAATAACGCGGCCTGACATGTTAAATAGTCATTCCACTCCCTCTACCTCTCTATTGTTGAGAAGTCGCTCCAGGTCAGCTGCCATGTCGTTCTTCACTTGTTGGAGAGCATTTCGCTCCTTCCTCAACGAACTGCAGTCAGAAAAACAGGAATAGATTAGATTATATCAAAATAAAGCTATGCTAATAGGAAGGTATTTCTAGAACTCTGTAGCACAGGATCTTGTGAAGCTGAGGGATCTTAATTACTTTATAGTCCAAACACCTCTTGTAAAGAGATTGCCTCTGTAGCAGATATTTGTACTCATGACTAAACTATATTACTATAATATAAGTTGCCTTCAAGTCATACAGAAAAATACTTAACATGTTAATCAAAGCATATAGAAATTCAATATAATTTTCCTCTATTTTAGCCAGAAGTAAAAACACATTTAAGAACATAATTTGTTTGCTTCATCAGCAGCCAATTTTCAAAATACAATTCACTAAAATTACAACCAATATGACATGCACTGTTGACATGTTCCATCTAAGGCTGTAAAACAAGCTAGAACATGTGGTGGTGTGCTTTAAATGCAAATCAACACAAAGCCTGATCTCCATTCACTGAGGAATCTGAAGGGACAAAAAGGATTTAAATGTGCGTTATCAGAGAGACCAGAACATGAAAAGATAATCTCCTGAGAGTTAAGTCTCTGTTTGCAACAGATAGTCCTGCAAAGCCACAGGGAGACTTCAGTATCCCTGACAGATGCAAGGAGGCTAGAGAAGCTTGACAGCATTTAAAAAAGAATTTCCCCCTCCTTCCCCTGCTTGCCCCAGGTGAGCGCTCACTGCTAGTGTGCAGCAAGAGAAAACCTGCAGTCTGTCAGCTTGCATATTTGTCAAGCCAAAATACAGTGGCAACGAGCAGAAATATAGGCTGGAGCCAGGCAGGTGTATTCATTCTGATGTGAGATAATAAGGAAACAGGAAGGTTGCAGTGGGTAAAGAACAGTTTATTAAAAAAGAATGCCGGAGAATGAATGGGGAACAATACGCTGTATTTTACCTGACTTCTTCCTCAAGGGATGAGAGGCGTTCCTTCAGTGCGCTAAGCTGTGCATCCCTTTCCCTCACAGTCTGGATTAGAAAGCTGTAAGGCTGCTGGGTCTGCTGCAACAGCTGGTTGGCTGCAGACAGCTAAGGTTCAAAACACAAATGACAAAACTGGTATTTTATTTAGCACCCAAAATAAAGAATAAAGCTGTAGTTCATAAGCGTTAAATTAAAATAATTCATACATGTTTTAATATATCTGATGCTGTTCTATGATGTAAAGATAAAATTATTTCACTGTAGTCCCTCACCTGGCCTCTACGTCTAGACAAATCAGAGACGCGCACCTACAGCTTTCATCAAAAGCTTTGTCAATCAAACATTATGCAAAGCAGGGTGAGAGAAAGTGAGATACAAAAAAGGATCAAATATAAAAATACCTCAACTGCATTTTTTCCCCTGAATTTTAGACGATGTTAATGCCTTTCTACAAAACTTTCTGCGAGTGCAAAAAACTTTAAAGTTTCTCTTAAACAAGTAAAAACATTTTTAAAAACTATTCAAACAAATATTGCGTGCATGGATGTGTGTTAAGGAGGGGCGACTTTCAGCTCCTTCAGGAGGAGAGTGGAAGCTAAAGCTGTGATTTAAAAATCTCTTCAACATGTACAGATTATAGCTCTGAAAGAACCTTTGATAACAAATAATAAAAAAGAAATGATTTTTGATATACACAAACATACGTTTCTTTTGGAGACTTTAGGTGAGAGCAACAGAAATCATTGCATATTTTCAAAGAGGAAGAAGAAAGAAAATTTTCTTATCTTATTTAAAGAGTCCTCACCTGGATATCTGACTTAATCAATGTTAAAATGTGTGTGTTGGGCTTCAATTTAAACCTGTCAGGAATTCCCTATAGAGAAGGTGGCTTGGTATTCAACAATTGGGCTCTTTGTTCAAACTAGGAAAGCCCACAAGAGTACACAAAAATTAAAAGACGATTTTATGTAAAACACTAGGTATGGTTCCTATAAACTTGCAGTTATGAGGTTTGCTTTAATATATAAAGATTTTTCTTTATTAAATCCCCTCGAATTAAATCCAGTGTAATTCTAAGAATCAATTTTCCCCCAATCAGTTAATTAACTAAATAATTAAACTTTATTTATAAATTCCTACTGTTGTCCACAAAAGAAAAGAAATAAAAACTTTAAACAGGCTATATAAATTGAACACTTACATTAAAACGAATAAAACAGGAACAATTAAACATTAAATGAAAACTATTTTTATAATTATCCTGTGTATCCTATAGCGACAGAAACCTATTTCCTTCCAAAGGCATAACACAGTTGTGTTTTTCCCTCAAGACATATCACTCAGCCATTATCATGCTTAAAAATCAACAGATAAAGTCACAGTGTTACACATTAAGCCACTTTTATTGCCAGGTAGTAGTGAGCAGAAGAAGGTGCGAGAGTCTGAACAATAGTGAGTTAGTCAGGGCATCTGTGTGGGTGGTTAACAGGGTAACACCCTGCCTCTCGACAGCAAAAGGAAATGCCATTTTTCACTCTTTTCTTTAACACTTGATGAATCACGAGGTATTCCAGACGAGTACCAGTCAATCTTAGGTGACAGCTGAAAGCCCAGGCTATTTAGATTCAGATCTGCCTGGCCGCTCAACTCCAACCTGCACAAGCGCCTCTTAGATTAGAGTGAAAGGGCAAGCACACCACAGCTCACGGTTTCAACCTTCAATGGATGCTTCAGACATCGATGCATGTGTGGCAGCCATGTGACCGTGCAAAGTCTGTCGATCAAATCAAAAATTCAAGTCTTATTGTTGCATGCATATGTAAGCAGACGGCATGCCAAAGCAAACAAAAGCTCTATGACTGTTGTAAAGAGTTGGATGAGAAGTGAAGAGCAACACTGTCATGGTTTTTGACATTTGCCATCCACTGTGTCAACAGAAGTGACAGATACCAGTATGCTCCTCTCATATAAACTCTTATCATTTCTTAAACTTGTCTTTCCAATGGATTCATTATGAGGTCAGAATAAGAGAAGACTCACTAATAAGTCTTAAGGTGAGTGATTTTGAATAGTGCGAAGTGGAAGTTATGAATGTGAGAGCAGTCAGTATGCAACATGTTTTTTCTCTGGTTTTCACTTTAAACAAAGCAAAACAAACAACATCTGTGGTTCAATTGTAGTTCCGAATAAGGGATAACTGCCAAGAGTTCCTCTGAAGATCCAGGTTGGCTCAGTTGTTTCTCTTAAATTATATAACGCCACACAAACACAACAATCTTATAATTGCAGGTTGATAGCTGAATTAAAATATGCAACTTAGGTGGAAGTCTCTCAAATACTTGGCACCTTTAGCCTGACAGTTTTCCCGCAAACTTTAAACAGCCTTCAGCCTTAAATAGGCGGGTTAACCCGCCCAGTGGTCTTCCTCACATTTCAAGCACCCAAACATCCTACATATATACAGTATCAACGCGTGAGTGGAGCAGCAGCCGGTTTCTGCCCAAATCTGCTGCCTAATAAATCCTCTGTAGACATGGGAGATTGCTACACAGTAGGGCTGATCGATTTTACCAAAAATTGCATTTTATTTGACTGATATTACAGTTGCTGTTTCATTATGATTTCCCTTTGCTCAGAGTATCATTGTTTTCATGACCTTAAAAAGCTCCATTGTCACAGGACTTTACTGTTACTGTTTTGTAGGAAATGCCTTTCTTCTACTCGCATGCATGGATCAGCCCTCAAGCTGCATCGCTCTCTTTTCTTCTGCTTTACTACGCATAAATGTAATGTAACCAAAACAACCGATTGCCTCAACCATTTAAAAAACTGCACTTTGTTAAATTGTGATAATATTGCAAATGCAATTAATTGCCCTACTAGTACATATTTTACTGACAAGAAGGGAATCCTGACCGTTACGTATGTAGTTAAAGCAGCAAATGCAATAAATGTGACATATTCCCCATACACTGCTATTTCAAAACTTATATTTCTTTATATCAACAATAAAAAAAGTTGCATACAAACAAATGAACATAAAGCTGAGCATTAGGATTTCTCACTTGAGAATCAGCATTCTGATTTAAACCTTAATGACCAGAAATTTAAATAAATACTGGTTCATAAATGGCTCAATAAATCTGTCTTCACTTTCAGCATTTTATTCCATCCAAACATTCAGAGAGTGAAAAACAAAACAAAAACTTCCCGTTTTACAAGCCAGACCAGCAGGATAATCGGTGTAGCTCAGACTTCCCTGTATGAACTGCAGAACTGATCTGTGATCATGGAGGCATTCCAAATGTCAACTCAACCTTGAATATTTTAAAATAAAAACTCTCCTTTTAGACACTTTTAGCAGTGCTCTTAAAAAAACTGCGATAGACTAAGATTCTTTTCTATTTTCAAAACCAAAACAAAACTCTGATGTTCCTTGGCTGTTCAATGCACCAGTGCGATTAAAACACTGCACTTCTATGGAAGACGAAAATTGTACTTTCAGGATCAATGGGAAATTATGAAGGTAGTCCGAGGAAATCTAAAGATGCAAGGAGTTGTTTTAAATAAAACAATGTTTTCCAGGACAAGTCCAGACATGTCTGTAGTTTATTAAGACTACAAAAGAAAGAGAGGATACCTTAAAGGCAGAATGGAATAAAAAAAGGTTTCAAATATTCAACCTCTTTTAGAAAGTTTGAGAATTCAGCGAATGATCGAAAAATATAATTGGATTGGGACGAACTACTGTGCAGCGCTGTGACATAATTGCTTTATAAATGCGGCCATCAGGGAGCGCTAGACCAACGACTTCCAGGTCTAGTTATTAATATTGACTATACAACACACAATCCTGCTAATAATAAATAAATAATCTCAGTCAAATAAAAGCTGTGAAGCAACCAGAGGTAAAATGGAGTTGTGTCAGAAAAGCATGTATGTACTTGACTTTACTTAATGAAAAACAAAAACATATTAGATCTTTTCCAATAAAGAAGGTCCCCAGGCAGGGACACACGCTGCATACAGAGCGTCTCTGTGAGTGAGTACCTCCTGAGACATCTGTCCTGTCTGGGACTGGTGTCTGTCCAGATCCCTCCTCAGTGATGTGTTCTGTCTCTCAAGCTGCAGCACCCTGCGGGCCAGATGAACACTGCACAATAGAAGAACCCACACAAGCACAGTTAGCAGAGTTAAACAACTCTAACAAGATTGCACTTATCTTTATCAGCATGTTAACGAATATCAGAGATTCAGGAATTTGAAAAAATATCAAAGTGGAAAACAAACACTGAACGTGTTTAATAATGTCGGTTAATCCAAATACAGCAGCTTGTGACATTGCTAGTGTTACAGGTATTGAATGAACAGCAGACAAAGGGAAGGTGATTATAATCTGATTTAAATAATTCAGGTTTTGATCTAACAATTCCAATCTTTTTTTTCATGTGATGCAGATAAAGACCTTTGATTTAATAAGATAACATGACATGCTGCATGTCTGGTGCTTTACCTTTGCTTTAGTCTTCTTTTAGCCGTCGTTGGAACGTTTGCACCGTATCCATATGAGAAGAGAATTCTCTCTGCCTCTTCCTCATTCTCAACTGGTAAAATGTTGAAATACAATTACACAGTATATAAACTCTCAGTATGGTCATAACAAAAGTTTCAGGAATTGGACTGGCCATATTCAAGAATACTTTCCTACTTAGATAAAAGAATTCATGGAGGTGATCTTTTTTCCTCGTGCCCCAAATATTCACCATTCCTGCTGCCAAATTTCCATTTTATGAACCCACTTTTTTTTTAATATATATATATATATATATATATATATATATATATATATATATATATATATATATATATATATATACATATATACACAAGATTATTCAAGAATTTTTATGCAGCTCCTCAGCAACAGCTGAGAGGTGGTCTTACTTTCAGCCGCCTGCATGGTAACCTGGTCCAACTCCTGCTCCATCTTTTCATATGTCTCAAGTCGTGATGCCTGCTCTGCATTCTGGGCCTGAAGCTCAGCCACCCGCTTCTCAGAGGAGGCTTGGAGAGTGTAAAACTCCTGAGTGAGAAGCTGGAGGGGAAAAGACCATAAGAGAGGAATGACACAGAGAGCCAAAAAAGGTTTCTGGCATGCCAGTTTTGAAAAATGGCATAGGCCGGTTGGAAACTTGTATATGCCGGTTGCTAACCAGCATATGCCAGTTAGAAACTGGTTTATGCCAGTTGGAAACTGGTGTCTGCCATTTGCTAACCAGCTTATGCCAGTTGGAAACTAGTTTGTGCCAGTTGGAAACTGGTTTGTGCCAGTTGGAAACTGGTTTGTGTCAGTTCCTAACATGCTTATGCCAGTTTGAAAATGATTTATGCCAGTTGGAAACTGGTGTCTGCCAGTTGCTAACCAGCTTATGCCAGTTGGAAACTGGTTTGTGCCAGTTGGAAACTGGTTTGTGTCAGTTCCTAACATGAATATGCCAGTTGGAAATTGGTGTCTGCCAGTTGGAAATTGGTGTCTGCCAGTTGCTAACCAGCATATGCCAGTTGGAAACTGGTTTATGCCAATTGGAAACTGGTTTCTACAAGATGCTAACCAGCATATGCCAGTTTGAAACTGGTTTATACCAGTTGGAAACTGGTTTGTGCCAGCTTCTAACATGCTTATGCCAGTTGGAAAATAGTTTGTGCTATTTGCTAACCGGCTTATACTAGTTATAACCTGGTTTATGCCAGTTGCAAACCGGCATATGCCATTTGGAAACTGCTTGGTGCCAGTTGGAAACTGGTTTATGCCAGTTGCTAACCGGCATATGCCAGCTGCTAACCGGCATATGCCAGCTGCTAACCGGCTTATGCCAGCTGCTAACCGGCTTATGCCAGTTGGAACCTGTTTTATGCCAACTGCTTACGGCATATGCCATTTCGAAACCGTTTTGTGCCAGTTTCCAACCTGTCATTTAAATCCGATAACAAAGAGGTTTCTAGAATTTCATTCTTTCATCTGCGGAATATTGCAAAAATTAGAAATATCCTGTCCAGGGGTAATGCTGAGAAACTAGTCCATGCATTTGCTACTTCAAGGCTGGACTACTGTAATTCTTTACTATCAAGAAGTCAACAAACTGTAATTAAAAGCCTTCAGCTGATCCAAAATGCTGCAGCCAGGGTTATGATGAAAATTAAAAGAGAGATCATATCTCTCCTATCCTGGCTTCTCTTCATTGGTTTCCTAGTGGTTCCTAGAATTTCTAAAAGTAGAATGGGAGGCAGATCTTTTAGTTAGCAGGCTCCTCTCCTGTGGAACCAAGTACCAGTTTTGGTCCATGAGGCAGATACCCTGTCTACTTTTAAGACTAGGCTTAAAACTTTCCTTTTTGATAAAGTTTATAGTTAGAGTGGCTCAGGTTATCCTGAGCTATCGCTATAGTTATGCTGCTATAGGCCTTAGACTTCTGAAGGACACAGGGACCCCTTTTTCATCATTTTGCCTCATTCTATCTTTATTCTCCTACTCTGCAGAATCTGTTAGTTCAATCTCTAACGTTCTACTCTCTCTGCTTTTTCTCATAGTAACTTGACCTCGTCTGTTCCTGTTTGACTGTGACAACATCCTAGAGAGAAATATCAGCTATGCTGCTTCCATCAACACCTTTGCTTATTGATGTTGGAGATTGGTCTGTTTTTCAGTGTAGTTTCTCTGGCTGTGACTAACTGGATGTGCTCTCTTTCATCCTCTGACATGGGAGTAGGCTCAGAGCTCGTCCACCTGGCTGTCTGTTTCGTGGACGTGGCAACCTTTTAAAGTTGCCTTTTGTATCTCCGCTTTTAACAGGTTTCTTCCTGTTAAAAGGTAGTTTTACCTCTCTACTGTCGCTACATGCATGCTTAGTGTGCAGGATTGCCTTTAAGTCAATGAGTTGATGCACTGAACTGGTTTTTCTTAGATAGAAAACGTTTAATCAATTTGACTATATGATCTGATGAAGTACCTTGTGTTATGAATTGGCACTACATAAATAAACAGAATTAATTGATCTGATGCCACATGCATATATAGAGCAGGGGTGGTAATAACCTATTGTTTGCAACCAGTGATGAAGAAGAAGTGTAAACACATATGCCGGTTAGCAACTGGCAAAAAACAGTTTTCCACTGGCATTTACCAGTTACCAACCAGCATTTACCAGTTACCAACTGGCTTATGCCAGTTACCAACTGGGTTATAGAAACCCAACAGACAACCAGTAACAGTACCTGGCTATGAACATTCTCTGGCATTTTTATAAATAGCTACCAAAACACAAACAGTTAATCTACCTTCAATTTGAGCTCACACTCATATAATAAAGGTATAATAAATATGGCCTATTTAATCAATAAGCCAGCTGCAATCAGTGTTGATACATTTGGACTAAATTGGGAGTGTGATCTTTGATTTAACAAGAAAACGCCATCTGTGGCTTCAGTGTAATACTTTTACATTTAGAATATAGTTTTCATACAACATGTCACAATATCATTGTGGAAAAAGAGCACTAATTCCAAATACAGCATTGTCGTAACATAAAATGCTTGTGCATTGGAGTAGTTGGATGTTGAAATATTATTGAACCTTAAAAGCTACAGCTCAGGTGCTTTTGAACTGTTTTAGAGGCAGAACTAGTTGCTCAGAAGAAAATCTAGAGAAAAAAAATATCTTAAGGCCCAAAGTTCGGGTATAAAAAAATCTAATATATTCTTGCAGTTTTAGTGAAGCATTAGTGGGTGTAATTTCTGTCCAAATTTGTGACTAGAAACCATAAGTGAGCAAATTTGCACATCTAAAAATAGATTTTAACAATTTTAAAATTTGGTGTGAAAAGTGCAATTCATCAATGGTGTAATGATTCTTCAGACGCTTCTTGATGCTTTGTGGTTAAATGAGATCATGCAAGCGTCTAGGACTACCTCCAGCTTCTTCTGCTGTTTCTCACACTCCACCTGGCACTGAGCCAGCGCCTTCGCCGTCTCTTCCTTGAGTAAAAGAGCTCGCTCTGCTTCGAAGGAGTGCAGCTTGGCCTGACTGGACAGCTCTGCTACTCGGCTGTCGGTGCCCAGCTGAAGCTGACGAAACCTGCAGAATAAGAAGCAAACACAGGTAGTCACACGCCTGGATAAATGACGGAGAGCACGTGGACTGAAAACCTGAGATCCCAGGCTTTTCAGCACACAGATTATGGTGATTCTTTGAAACAAAAACACTTTAGGGTTGGAGCATTTCACACAAAAGACAACCTCAGCTTTAAGCTCTGGTTGAGCAGGCATATCTAGTGATTAAATCCGTGAAGATGCAGGTCACGTGTCAAACAATCTTACATCATAATGTTTGGATATTGGCAAAAAATAGACTGATTGGTATGCCTTAAGCTATATTCAGTTCATGAGAAGCGGTGTAGTGACATTTAGGTTTGGCAGTTAAAAAATTATATCTGATAAGCTTGCAGATAAGCCAAGCAGTGAATCATCTCCCAGGACTGCTTAAAGCATTTTATAATCTTTTGATCTTCAGCGATTCTCCCTGGAATTTACAAGATGCTTTCTATTTAGCATTTTATTAAAAAGAAAAGAAAATAGAGTGGGTGCACATATGCTCCCTTGTACATTTCAACCTTTGATGTTACAGGTTATCAAACTAAACTTTACATCTGTTCGGCCGATGAACGTCATCTCAGCTCATGCATGGTACAAAAACTCAATATGGATAGGGGCATTTATTTTTTTCTCAAGATTTTGGTTTTTCTTCTAAATAAACCTTCTTTTTGAATTTACTCAGGATTTCATTGTCTGATATCCATATTCGATGTTTGAAGAAAAAAACAAAATAAACCTTTTTTATTGCTCTGTATCTTTAAAATAACCTGCTGATAGAAGTGGTTCGTTATTCGTGTATAAACAGACATTTCCTGTTCTAAATAACTTTTTTAATTATCCTTAATTAAAATTATGATTGTTATTTTATTAATACAAAATATCATCTGCCTTATCTGAGACATCAAACAGAAAGAAATTTCCTTTAATAACAGAAACATTTGTCTTCAGTAAGTTAAAAAAGCTCCTCAAGCTGTGCCCAAGCACGCACACACACGCTCTATCAAGCCACGGAGGTTGGTTGGATAATATTAATAACTCGATTACAGCTGACCTGATGAGATTTCATCACCCATGGAGCGCAGGCCTTAGCTGTGCTCTCACACCGACAGACATGATTGAAATTTTATGCCTTTTTTTATAAATGGCAGCTGCCATGGCTGAGCAAAGAAGCTAAGCTCACAAAATGAAGGAAAATAAAATGATTTTATATATATGGAACATATTTTCAAAGATGAAACATCGTTTTGCTTTCCAACCACTGATAATGTGCAGGTTTGCTTCAAAAGGGAAAGTTAAAACTAAATAAAAACTTAGGAATTTTTTTTCCTTTAAGGTGATAAATGACTATTGTTAGTAAACTATAGACATACAGCATAGAGATTTGAGCTTGTATTCAGTGTCTGAACCACTGGACGCCTTTTCAAGCTGGTCCTCCTCATTCTTTGCCCTAAAATAGGGGCATGCGTAGGGTTAGGGGTTAAGGGCTTGAGGCTAGCATCTGTCATTGCTGGCATGCGATGCGACGCAGAGAAAGAATGTGATCGCAGCAGAGAGAGTGCAAGGGAGAGTGGAGTTTGTGTGTCTGAGTGCATGGAAACACCAGCAGCTGGTGGTTTGGATTTAGACAAATGACTGGTATGCTGTAGTAACCCAGGGCAGGGACACTGCTACCGCTGCTGCTGCTGCTGCTGCTGCTGCTGTGTGTGCATATCTAGACTGCCTTTCCAAAAGCATCCATAACACTAAGACTTCTTTTATCACATTACAACTACAAATATTTTGCTTCTTAATGGGTATTTAGGAGACAGACCAATACAGAGTATTATGGAGAATTCAAAGGGAAAAAATTGGTCTTTTTCTTTTCTTTAGAGTGTTTTTTGTAAATAAAAACCAAAAAAGAAAATATCTGTCTTTGCTTGATTTTCTGGTGGTTTTGTCTCAGCGTTCAGATTTTTTCATGTTCAAATAGCAAAGTTTCAGACGGACTGAAGAGAGCATCTATGACTTTTCCATGTAAAGGCACCGTATGCACCTAACAAATCAAAACAAAATTAAATCAAGAGCACCAGATAGCAAGAGAATCCGGAAGAGAAAGTTATACCTGCTTCAATGAAAAATAACACGGAAAGCTTACAATACTTCAGTGAGTGGGTGTGTTTGGATGAAGTCCCATGGTATCTGTTTATAATCTGGGTCTGAAACTTGAAAAAAAACAAAAAAACATCAGGCCATCAACCAGACGGGCCTTCAGAGGTTATACTGACGTGCAAACTGCTGCCTGCAGCAGTGATAGACACTAATTACTAGGAAAAGAATTAAAGAGCAACATCTACTCCTCTGTTCTTGCAGCAAGTCGCAGGAAACTTTGACTACTTTGACTTTCCAGTGACCTCTTGGTCTCTCAGTCCTTGTGAAGAGTCCAAATGATCTTTTAGGAAGACCCGGAAAACCGCAGCCACATCTGCACCGCCACGCCCACGACACTCTGCAGTGACGGTCTCCAGCCGACTCGTACTCGACCCTTTAGGAGCTCTAAGAATATGGAATCTGAGCTGAGTATGAAAGAAAGGCTTAAGGCATCAACCTAACAGCGATCAGTGATTAAGAATAATGGGGTGGACAGCTCTAAAGTGATCAAGTCACTTGACCTCACCCTAAGTCTATATAAAAGAAAACACCAGCTCAGTCATTTTTTATTAAAAAAGCCAGAATCCAGAAGTTATTGAACAGGACTTCCCCTCTTCCTGGTTGTTCCTCTAACTGACAGTTTCTACTCTCAGGATGTGGATTTATTTCATCACGCTTCCTTTACAGCAGAACAAATCCAAAGCTGTTTGTAACAGACACCTAATCTTAAACAAGTTCTTCGCGTTTCTACAGAAAATGAGCCCAGAGCCTGGAAAACTGGTTTGAGTAGAGAAAAAAGTTCTTGCTAAAGTAACTTAATTCTTTACTATCACAGGTTTTGCAGCTATATCGTGTCACCTCCCTGCTTTTTAATACAGACATACCACTATTATGGGTCTTTATACAGGAAGCTTCAAAGCAGTGGCTATTGAAATATATTTTTTTATTTCTTTGGTATAACTTGTTTCCCAGGATGAACAAGCAAAAGGGCTGAGAGGGATAACGTGACAAGAATGTTTTGATTTTAATCCCTGAAGCAAAGAACAATAGGCACGCTTCAGGAGCAGGTAGATTTCTTTCTTTGAGGATTATTGAGGTTGGTAAAATGTCGTTTAATAAAATTGTCCCAACAGGACAGTTTGCTAACCTGCATCCTGTAGTTGTGGATCTGATAAAGAAAGCCCAAATCCATACACAAAATAAATGGGAAAAAAAGTGCTACATTAAAAATTCACATATAAATCAACGTGTTTATTAAAGCTAAATCTAATTAAAGCTGACTGCTGTCTTTTACTGTTGAAGTAACACTTGAGATTAGAGAAGGATGAATCAGTGTGGAAAACATGAGATCATGAATTATTGTACGTGCAACTGCCCTAAGAAATAATACTTGATAGAGGAAGATAAACTGGACAGAGCGGGTTATGATGATCAGACTGACCTCAGTGGGAGATAGACAGCTGTGAAACGGATCCCCTCAGATTTCCACACGTCTTTTTTCCAGTAAACCGTGTCTCATCCATACAGACACTCTTAGAGAGGTGACGACTCAGACTGAAAGTAGTTGTTTGGAGGGGTAAGCATGGTTGATCACTAAAGAGGTCAACGTTTTACCCCAATTCCCATCAGCTATTGCTCACAAATAGCCATTAAAACCATTTCTTTGGCCACTTTTTAATTATTATTAATCATTACTGTGTTTTGAGTGTTTATTCCGGAAAAACATACATTTCTCTTTAATGGGTCTGGATTATAAATGATGCCTTACGTTCATCGGAAGCGGGTAGATATTGACCGATTATCAACATTTAAAACTTGATTTTCATTGGTGATGAGCTGAACCCTATAGCTTAGTGGAAATAAGGACTATTTACTCTTCAGGCCAATTTACTGGAGTTATGAGACTGATTGATCTGTTCAAAAGTTGAAAATGTAAAGTAGCACAACTCCTGATGAACAAACTACTTTTTGAAAAGCTGACAAGTCGAGCTGACTCTTAGACTGTATCATGGCTTTAAATACACAGAAAAACCTGAAATAGCAGCAGAGTCAGATGCCACTTCAAGTGAAAAAACAGTGGATACACCATGTTGTACCTCAACAGCTGTCCTACATACCTTACATTTAAAGTACCTGCATACATGTCTCATGTCTGTGACTGACGGCTGATAAAACTCACTGCTCCAGCAGTTGGTCGTATCTTGACTGAGAGTCTCTTTCAGCGGCGACAGCTCTGTCTTTTTCTAGGACTGCATTGTCTCTGGCCTCACGCAAATTCCTAAACCCAGGAACAAACACACAGTTTAAATAATCGCTCAGTTCAAGCCATCTATGTGATCTCTGATTTTATATATCAGGAAAAAAGGTGAATGACCAGATGGTTAACAGATCAGCCAGTTTTCATTCATGGAGTAAAAGCAGAGCTGTCACTATTATTAACAACTATTCCAATTAGTTGATCTGAATAATAAACAGAGTCAGACATTTCATCATGTCCAAATAACAGCAGACTGGTACCTGTTCTCTCTCTCATACATCTCTCGGGAGGTTCTCTGAAGGTTCTCGATCTCCTGACTTGTTTTCAGCCGGATATTCTCCAACTCATCTCTGAGCTTGTTCTCATACTCTGACTTATAGTAGTCTCTGTGGTGGAGAATTAAAGTTGATTATGTAAAGACTGTTCTTTTTACCTAATGCTTAATTAATAATTGGTTAAACATGATAAAAATATCTTTTAAAACCAGACAAATCAAGGGGAATGTGCTTTGTTTAACTGATGGGAAGATGAGAGTCTGACCTGGATGCTACATATTTTTCATACGTATTCTCTCTGGCTTTCTTTGCATCCTCTAGTTGTACCTAGAGAGCAAAAACAGGAAGTAAGAGCGCATCATGTGACCTCATCCTGCTCCTGAACGCCATCCAAAATACAGATAGGCCTTCTGGCTGGTGGACCACAGACCTGTAGTCTATCTAGACGATCTTCTTGATGAGCGCAGCGGACACTGAGCTCCATGTTCTGCCTGTGCAGGTATTCCTTGTCCTTCTCCAGGAGAGTCACTGACTGCTGCAAGGTCGCCACCTGGTGGGCAATATAAACAGATTTAACAGTGAAAGTGTATTGAAATATAACATAACTAGCGAAAAGTTGACGTGATTCTCAGATTAAATTATACTTCTTTTCTGCATCATTAGCAGGTCTGTTACTTTGTTCTGTGGTTGATCTGCACACTCAACCCCAAAACATCTTCCTCTCTGGGAAAGGAGGTCTCCATTCTGAGCAATATGATTGCTGACAACCTTACAAAGCCATGACAACATCCTTTGGGCTTTTCCTAGTTGTTAACTTCCTTGGCTAATCTTAGAAAATGTAAGCTTCAGACTTTAATGTAAATAATGAAATATTCTTTAACAAAACAAAATCAAAAGTAACAAAAATCAGCAAATTTCTGTCTGATTCTGGCTTTAAGTAACATAAATCAGTCGATTTACATCTAAATCTGGTTTTAAGTAATGGAAACAAGATGATTTTTGTCTGATTCTGGCTTTAAGTAACATAAATAAGAGGATTTCTGACTGATTCTGGTTTTAACTACCGGAAATAAAATGATTTCCATCTGATTCTGGTTTTAAATAACGGAAATCAGTGGATTTATGTCTGATTGTGGCTTTAAGTAAAGAAGTAGCCATTAAAAACTTCCCCACTTTCCTTATATTATTCCTTATTTCCTATAATTCCTTTTTTAACATCAATCCTTGTACTAAAGTATTCTTTCTGTCATGATTTCTGGACATTAAGATCCAAAGAGAATATTTATCTGCTGGTCAGACCCTTTAACTCAGTGAAAGGGTGGAGTCAGAGTAAAAAAAATATGCACGCCCATGAGAAGGAGGGGTCCCTCCAGTGGCTGGAAGTTGGAGGGGATTTTTCTGGGAGCTGCAGGGAAGTGGGCTGTCATTCAGCTGACATTTGACTGGGAAGGGACATTTTGAATGGCTGCTACTGTAACAGAAATCAGTAGATTTCTGTCTGATTCTGGCTTTAAGTAACAGAAATCAGCCAATTTCTGTCTGATTCTGGTCTACTTGAAGCCAGAATTTGTGAATCTCTCTGTGATCGTCAGCCATTAAATTCAGGTCTATATCTCAATCTCATTGTGATGCTAACGATCAAATATTTTCAACTTTATCTAAAACAGCAGCTTATCAGTGAGTGAAAAGCAGGCTCTGTGTATAGCACCTCACTGCTGAGTGTCTCCCTCTCTCTGGTTATTGCAGCGTGAGACAAGTCCACCGCCTCAAACCTCCTCTTTAACTCCTTCAGCTCTGATTCTAATTCATCACGTTCTCTGTGGAGTTAAGCAGAAGACAGAACATACAGTTGAACGTGCAAAACTAATGAAGGTTTAAAAAAAACAGGTAACATGAAATCGATTAAAAACTACTTTAAGTGATCAAATTAATAAAAGGCATGTCTGAAACATACATATCCTTACATGGCAAGAGGACTCAAACACATCTAAAAGGAATATTCTGTTTGAACAGCTCACAATAAAATTGATTAATAAAAAGATTAAAGTTGTTATTCCTTTTTTTTTACTACTTTACTGTAACGTTGCCATAAGACAAAAAAACCCACCTCCTGATGTTTGGGTAGTTGTCTCTGCGATAGTCGCCCTCTTGGATATGCTGCTTGGTATCAGCCAGCTCTAAGGTCAGCCTCTGGCTCCTCAGCTCCAGCTCTGCGCGCAGCCGCCTCTCTTCCTCATAGCTCTGATCATCAGTAGATGTGGTGCAAAAAACACAAATGTTTAAAACGTTAGTGAAAAGAAATAAAAGTCTGTAAGCATCTGCATATTCAAAATAGGAAAAAAAACAGCAAAAAATCCAAAAGTGAGCCAACACAGATTGACTCAAAATGTCCAGAACAATGGTTGCTAGCTGTAATAAAAGTTTTTATTTTCCTACATTGTTTTTTCTTCTTTTAATTCTTGGTTTTTGAGCCTGTGTGGTTAAACCTGACCGCATGGCCCTGCCCCGATGGTGCCTCTGCTGGATGTTACGCATTGAAGATTTTAAAAGATCAGGAAATGACACTCATACCTCCATCAAAAGCTTCATCTTGTTCCGCTGTACGTCCAGCTCCTCAGTCAGATAGCCCTTCTGTTCACTCAGCTGAGTCAGCTGAGCACGGAGAGGAGTTACAGCCTCATAGAAACGCATCTAGAACCATGACAAAGAGCTTCTTCACCATCTTCTTCATCAGACACTTTTACCTTCTGAATGGTTTGCAGTGGGGTTCAGTTATGCAGAGGAAACCAAAGGTGTGCTTACAGCTACATATTCCTGGATGCTTAGTTTGTCGTCAGGAGTGCTGCAGAGCTCCTGGTAGCGCTCCTGGGTTATGTCCAGATCGCGCAGGGAGCGGCGCAGCTCTCCTGCCTTCTCGCACAGCTGCCGGTTAGTCTCCTCCAGCTGCTGCTGCCTGAGCAGGATGGTCTCCATCTCCTGCTTACGCAGAGCCTGCTGTTTCCTGACCAGGACAGTCTCTATTAGTGCATTCTACATTGGGGTTTAGCTAATGGATGATTCTTGCTAATGGCTTTGTGTGCAGCATGCAGAAGAAAAATACCATAAAAACAAAAAAGGCACTGAAGAAAATTGTGCTACATATATTTTGACCATTTATGGATAATTAAAAAAGAATTTTACTGAGAGCAGAAACAACACAAAAGCTTCAACTCTTCTTTTTTTAAGGTCTACATGATCTCAGTTTGACCTCTGGAAAGTACCGTGATTTTTAATGTATCACACTGGGAATCTGGTGCATAACAGGTTTGATATTGACAAAAATAAAGATATAAAAAGCAATAGTAGTGCATTCGTTCACTTGGATCTGATTGTTTATGCAGGACGATGTGCAATGGTCTTTTTTTTAACACTTACAGTATCCTGCATGAAGACCAGAATTCTATATTTTGGTTTTTAGAAATGCATTTATTAGATTATTATTTGGAAAACGATTTAACCATTTATCATTTTTGTCCCTTTCATTTTAACTCTATTGGTTTATTACATAAAGATCCCAAGTTACATAAAAGTCTGAGGCTGTAATGTGATAAAGGTTAAAGGCGTTTTAGCTAGCAAAGAAGCTTTTTATAGTAACAGAAGATATTCCTAAAGAGAAATGGATTTACCTGTTCTCCTCTTGTGCAAGCTTAAGCTGGCTGTCAAGTTTAAGAGAGAGGACCTGCTTTTGATGCAAGGCGTCGTTCAGTTTTTCCTCGAGTTCCTCAACCTGAAACAACATCATTCTTATCATGCACACATCAATAGAAAACATTTGAGAATTGAATGCAGAGAAAAAAAATAATAATACTGGAGATGTTGATAGCAGATGTCAATAATACGTTTGTTTATAACTTGTAATGGTTGCTGTTGAATATTCTATCTTGATAAGCATTAAAACATTAAAAGCCCTGATTGTTTCATCCCCAATTAAGGGACAACTTGTCATAAAAAAGGGGGCGTTACATTAAAACTAGGGCTGCAAATAATCGATTAATATGTAGATTATGTATACTTCAATTCATTAATTATCGGAAAGCGAAAAGTTTCCTTTAAGAAGACTTTTCTCAAAATTAAACCAGATGAAACTAAAAGTTTTCATTCAATAATCGATTAATCTCGACTGATCCGATTAATTGCTTCAACCCTAATTAACACCAATTATATTACAGCAATAAATAATTTTATTATTTTTACACTGATAGAAAACACATTAGGTTGCATTTGTAATTCTTAAATTGTATTTTTAGCATATCTGGCTAATTTTATCATTTGAATTACTCTTTTTTAGTAGGTTAACGTGCATGTTTTTAAATATGTTGTTAGGTAAAGCATATTGTTCTGCATGGCTAAAAATGGGTAATATATAAAGAATGTGATCAGATGTGTTTTTATGAGGGCAGGTGTTTATAACAGAGCTACAAAACAAATCTGATCACGACCTGAAGCCCTCCTAGTTCTACTCCACCTCTCTGCTACCTTTGCCATGTGGTCCGCCTTCATGTTGTCTATGATCAGGTTCTTTTGGGAAAGCTCTATTTTCAGCAGCTGAACGTTGTGCAGCAGCTCCTTCCTCTCGATCAGCTGGCGCGTGACCTTCTGGGAGCCGTTGCGTTGCTCGTCGGACGAAGACACATCCTCGGTGGTCGGTACTGTTGTCTCCAGGCTGATGTCCTCAGACTCCAGGTCCAACGAGCTGGAGATGTTAGCTGTTGTTGGCTTCAGCTGCTGCTTCTTGGGAGCCATTTCTTTGTTTCTCATGCACTTAGGGGCATTAGTACTGATACTATTATATTGTCATAATTAATTATTCAGCTTTACTCTGAAACACAGACCCCAAGCCTAACGCTGTAATGTTGTTAAGCACATTTTAAATTAAAAACTAATTTCTATCTTTATAAACAAATGTGAAATAAGGCTAAAGTCCCCCCCAAAAAAACACAACAACAGACAGTAAAGTGTTTAGTTTCAAGGGTCCCGCTCCGAGCTGTCTGCTTACCGCCAGCTGTTCTATGATTGTTTCAACTGTTAGCCACAGCGCCCTCTGTCGTAAAGACGGTGAATAGCAGACAACGTGCATAGATTTCTAGAGGTTGACACCTAGGAAACTACGTGTCAAGCCATCGGCCATATTGTGAGTGGCATTTTTTTTGTTTCTGGCACTGGATTTCTAACCTGACAACAGCCAGATGCATGTCTCGCTCCGCCCAGCTCCACTCACATACTCATATGTGAGTGGAGCTGGGCGGAGCGAGACATGCATCTGGCTGTTGTCAGGTTACTGGATTTCAGCATTGATCTCTATTTGATAAATAGAGATAGATATCAGTGGGTTTCAGTGGCTGCGTACCAATGAGAATCAACTAATTTCAATTCATTGCGTGATATCTGCAAATAGTTTCCCAGCTCAAGACAAAACACTTAAAATGTAAATCTCAATTCCATTCTGATGCTGATTCATATACAATTAGATTTAAAATGAATTCTTAATTTCAATACATTTACTTTTTCTTTAACTTTAATTACAGATAGATAGATAGATAGATAGATAGATAGATAGATAGATAGATAGATAGATAGATAGATAGATAGATAGATAGATAGATACTTTTTTACATAAAGAAGAACTACACAAAAAAGTCTATATGTCATTTTTTTTTTTCAGTTAGCACTTCTTGTGTG